ACAGGGCGGATCGGAGGAGGAGAGGAGGCAGAGAGCTCCCCGCCCAGCGCTGGAAAAAGGTAAGTTTTAACCCCTATCCCCTTTCCAGAGCCGGGCGGGAGGGGGACCCTGAGGGTGGGGGCACCCTCAGGGCACTATAGTGCCAGGAAAACGAGTATGTTTTCCTGGCACTATAGTGGTCCTTTAACCATGTGCACACTGTGTGCTGAGAGCGAATGGAGTAGCTGGCATGTTTCATAACAGCAGCGATATTTAATAGAAAGATAAAGTTGTCATAGCAGGAGCTCTACTGAAGATGAGATCATGTAAGGAAGTCCTAAGAGAGGGCTACGGAGATAGATAGAGAGCTGGATCATTATAAAGACGTGTACTGTGTGGGGATCTCTGTATTGCAGCTCTGTGTAATCCATCACAGTGATTCTGGCGGTGTGGGATAGTTTTGAGCATATCCTTATTGTGCCCAGCTCTCTGTATGGGTATCTCTGTAGTCTATTCAGCTCTGTGTATTAAATAGGTATCTTTGTATTATATAGCTATTTTATCTCAGCTCTGTTTGTAGTATGGCTATCTATGTATTGTACTCAGCTCTATGTATTTTATAGATATCTTTAAGTTGTACCCAACCTGTTGTATTGTATGATCATCTCTGCATTATAATGTGTATATAGTACAGAGATACCCATACTGTAAAGTATGAGTATCTCTGTGCTATATAGGAGGAGTAACATTCTGGGGGAGGAGTCTGCCGCGCATGCGCATTCAGTCGATTACGTCCAAAGGAGGAGGAGAGTCCCCAGCGCCGAGGGAGCCCGGCGCTGGAGAAAGGTAAGATTTTAACCCCTTCCTCCAACTTCAGCCTGGCGGGTATTGTTTTCCTGGCACTATAGTGGTCCTTCAAGGCCAAAACACAATGATGCAAAACCAGAAGAACACAAAAATGTGAATGCTTAGTGATTGGATAATTTCATAGAAACATAGAAACATAGAATGTGACGGCAGATAAGAACCATTCGGCCCATCTAGTCTGCCCAATTTTCTAAAAACTTTCATTAGTCCCTAGCCTTATCTTATAGTTAGGATAGCCTTATGCCTATCCCATGCATGCTTAAACCCCTTTACTGTGTTAACCTCTACCACTTCAGCTGGAAGGCTATTCCATGCATCCACTACCCTCTCAGTAAAGCAATACTTCCTGATATTATTTTTAAACCTTTGTCCCTCTAATTTAAGACTATGTCCTCTTGTTGTGGTAGTTTTTCTTCTTTTAAATATAGTCTCCTCCTTTACTGTGTTGATTCCCTTCACTCTAACAGCCACTAGAGGAGCTTCTGCAAAAATAGCCGAGTATAACTGAATGCTTTTAATATTGCAAGGCTGTGCTGTTTCATTGTCCCCTCTGTTTAAATCAGAATTTTACTAGAATGTTCAAGGCATAGAAATAATATTTGTTTTGTGTATGGTGTGATGGTGCAAGACAAAAAGGCAAGCAGAATGACATCTTAAACAACAACCTGTCAGTTTTATAAAATGAAAGGTTAGGAAGAGAAGAAGAGCCAGAATAATAATATACAGAGACATAAAGATGGATATCATCATAGGTGGGTAAACAATAAATGGAATTCCATGGGAACTCTATGCACCATAACCACTACAGTCTTTTGTAGTCCTTAGTATGTAAGAGTCTGAGTTTATCTGTTTTATTATATCTAACTGGTCTCCAGATTACAAAAAAAAAAAAAGAGAGAGAAAATTCGGCACCCAAAGTCCAAAGAAATCATGGTAAATTTTACTTCCTTTTCATTCATCCAAATTTGCGAGGTAATGATAGTCTGCAAGCTCTTTTCTCATTGCCTGACTGCCAGCAGGAGGTCCAGGATCTACATGCCAGGAGAACCCTTGTTTGTTAAAGCACTGAGCTGGCATCAGCTGAAGAGGCTGCATTCAAAAGACTATTTGTACCATAACCACTTCTATTAGCTGTAGTGCAAATGGTGCTTAATGAGTCCTTATAAATCAAATTGGAGATATAACAAAACGCGTTCTCCGTTTGTTGTACAATGTAAAGAATCTTGCTAGCGAGAGGAATAGCTTCTGGGAACTAACACATAGGGCAGGCATAGGCAACTGTTGGCACTACAGATGTTTTGGACTACACCTCCCTTGATCCTTTGCCAGCATTATGGGTGTAAGAGCATTATGGGGGATGTAGTCCACAACATCTGGGGTGCCAAAGGTTGCCTATCCCTGACCTAGGACATTCTTTCTAAAGTAAAATATCCCAAATTGTGTTCCATGCCTGCTCAACTGGAGACCCATCTCCCACCTCCCCAGACTTTTCCTCTGGTGTCCCTTCTAGAAACATTTGTCCTTACCTCTTGCTTATAACCATTTAATCTAGAATATAAACACATTTGAGCAAAGCCCTTATCTCTTCCTATTAAATTGTCTGTCACAAGTTATATGTTTGATTTGTTGGTATAATTATGGTTTATAGCTGCATAATATGCTTGCAATCTGTAAGTATTGCAATAATAAAATAATAATATAGATACCCTTAGCTTGGAAAGGGAGGTATTGCTGAATTTATATCTGCAACATTTAGGAACACTTAAATTAGCAGCCCCATTCTACACAGCCACAAATATCCTCAGTGTAGCTTCGATAGCACAGTAATACCAATAAGAAAAGCTGGTAGAGAGCTTGATTTCCCACAGCTGTGCCATAGAGAATGTGTTATGTCACAATCACCACCTTCGTTTTAAATTACCGCGTAATTAGCAAATGGTCTTCTTGCAAAATGTGATGCCATTTCCATAAATAGAACAGACGAGCAGTCGCAGATAAAACTTGCAATGTATCCGTGCGCCTAAAATATCAGCAGAAACCCACGTTTCCATAGCAACACGGAGACTCTCCGCGTTGCAGGCCCTGCGTAAAAACAAAACAACAACAGAAAAAGACAGATTTGGCATCACTCGTCACAGAGCATATCTGTGAAGTTTATATCAGTCTCTGGAACAGAAATTGCCATTTCGTAGCCTTTAAAATCAATTTAAAGTGAATTAGGCTGTAAAGAGTTAATTTTTTTGTATGGCAGAGGAATGGGAAAATTTTCATTTTAGCAAGAAACTAAAACACAGAACACTGTAAATAACAGATAACAATCTATTTATTAATGATACGGTATTTTACTGCAAATAATCCTGGACATTTCTTTCGTCGTATAGTGCAGGGATCAGCAACCTTCTGCATTCCAGGTGTTGTTGACTACATCTCCCATAGTGCTCTAACAGTCATAAGGCTTGCAAAGCATCAGGGGAAAAGTAGTCCACAACATCTGGAGTGACGAAGTTTGCCTACCCCTGTAGTTTCCTATAGAAAATGACCCAATGCAATGAGACCCATCCCCCTTTATTCTACAGGTGGGGAGAGAGAGACGCTCTTTACAAAATGCAGTCTGATACAATACAGCTGTAAAAAGATTGGATTTATTTATGGTAAAAATGGATAGTTACTACATGTGACTCAATTTTCTGTCATTACACATAGATTTATTCATTGAATTAGCAGGTTGAAGTGGAGTTCACTATTTGCGTTACTTGGAGGTAGAATGGCGTAGAGCAGTGATGGCGAACCTTTTTGAGCCCGAGTGCCCAAACCGTAATACATGCCAATTTTTCCCCCTCAAAGTGCCAAAACGGCATTTAAACCTGAATACTGAGGTTTAAGTTTAGAAAAAACAACTCATACAGTTGTCCGAACTAATTAACATCTCTGTGTGTGTATTAAGCAGTTTGTGTGTGTGTGCTCGGCAGTCTGTCTGTATGTGTATTTAGCAGTCTGTCTGTGTACTTAGCAGTCTGTCTGTATTTAGCAGACTGCTGAGTACACAGTCTGCTGAATACACACACAGACTGCTAAATACACACACACACAGACTGCTAAATACACACACACAGACAGACTGCTAAATACACACACACACAGACAGACTGCTGAGTGTACACACACAGACAGACTGCTGAGTGTACACACACAGACAGACTGCTGAGTGTACACACACTGCATTGAGGGGTACAGTGTATGTGTTTGTGGGTGGAGTGATGTGTGTGGGTGGGGTGTTTGTGTGTGGGGTGGTGTGTTTGTGTGTGGG